CGGCACATATAGATGGCTGATTGGGAGAAAACTTGCTCCTGGTCAGCTGGGCAGCAGGGAGCGGGAGATTGCTTCCTGCCCCTGGAAGCTGCCTGCTGCTGGGGGGGATTCCACCACCAAAACCCAGGTGGGGACAATGTTCCCCTGTCCCACCAGCAGGGAGCTCCCAGACCCCACCCCCCAAGTCACGATCACAGAGCTGGGACTGGGAATAGGCTGGGAACAGGCTGGAAGATTGTCCCCAGCTCCTGCTTCACAATCATAAGCTGGAACTGGGAACAAGTTCCCAGCCCGTTCCCAGCCCCAGATCCACAATCGTAACTGCGGAGCTGGGGCTGGGAACAAGCTCCCCAGCCCGTTCTGCAATCACAGAGCATGGGTTAAGAACAAGCAATTGCAGAGCAGGGGACCTGCCCCTCCCCTGCAGCTCTTTCCAAGCCCCCTACCCCTGATCAAGAAGCCAGGGCCAGGAGCTCCATGCTGCTGGGGCAGGGGGATATTGTCCCCACCCAGGCTCCGGTGGCAGAGCCTGCCCTGGCAACAAGCAGTTCCTGAGGGCAGGGAGCAATCTCCCAGCTCCAGACAGGAGACAGCTGTCTCCTTGCCCTGTGCTCCCTGCCAGTCTTTGGGCTAGCACCCAGAGGGAGCCTAGCGTTCACCCTGGCTGCTTTAGTGGGCTGGTGCAGGGCCAGAGGGGGTGGGAGCAGACTACTGCCAAGAGCAGCAAATCTGTTCCTGCATCCCCGCATGTGTAGACATCTGCCCAGAGTGGGTTTACTCTAGTGTAAATCTACCCCACAGTATATACATGTGTCAATGCACCTATTAACTATTTAAGTTAGGGCTATAATTTAACTGATACAATCCCTAGTGCTGATGCAGATATTTTGATTACAACTGATTTCAGTGTACAACAGTGTGCACAGACAACCACATCATGTAGAATTATTCACATCGCAAGGTACCCCCACAGTTGGTGCCACTGTTATTCGATACAGCAGGGAGCAGAAGAGCTGGCTAGTACCTCTCAAACCAAACCCCTGCTAGTCAGAGATGAAGTTTACTGGGTTTGACTCTACCTGCCCATGCTCATCCTTCTTTATGGAGCAGAGGACTTCAATCTTTAGGGCTGCCAACAGTACAACTTTCATGACAGTTAAATTTATTTAAATGTTTAGTAAAAGAGGAACTGCATCATATGGACTAAAGGCTAAGCACAGACAGTCAAAAAGCCAGAGGCTGACTCAATTCAATCTTTGCAGGTTAGTCTAAACTGTGTGGATTGAACCGATAAGCAAGTGAACAGATATTCATTTTTGATTGAGGAAATGCAGCCACATGCCTGCAGTGGCCCAGGTCAAAAGCTGGGGCGGGGCAGGGGGAGTGGTGCTAGAGCACACATCCCTGCTCAGCTGGAGTAGACAACTTAGGCTAAGTCTAGCCCACCCACCCTGTGAGGGGGTTGCAAGGGATGTGCAAAGCATCCTGGGATGCTGGGGGACTGAGTTAACTTAAATCTGGAGGGGATCTGGAACAGAAGTTCAATAAAGCAATTTAACCTAAATCAGTTAAGTCTGATACTACATCCATCCAGGTTTATCTTAAACTAGTCTTGACCATTTTGAAAGTGGTATATGTGCACTGAACTTCTGTTGTGTTATAGATTTGAACTGATTTCCGATTGCTTATACCAATTTATGTGTAACTTCTGTCCTGAGCCAAGAGACACAAAGCCCACTGCCCTAAGGGAAAGTAATCTTTAAAACGTACGATTTTGAAAGACTTTACTATTTCTAGTGGAATCTACAATCAGATAGACAAATAACTTTGCTGAAAAGGATAGACTATTCCGCCAGTACTATCCTGTAATCTACAGAGTAGAGTAGTGATAGTGAAATAAAAAGTCTCCCACAATAACTGACTGAACCTTAAGGGCATTTTTACACGTGCTGTGGGACATGGCACCAGGCACTTTAATTAGCAAGCCATGCTAATTAAAAGTGCCCGTGTGTCACGTGCGCATCCCCGCACTGAAAAAATGGCAGCAGGGCACTTTGAACTAAAACTCACTGAATGTGTTTTATTTCAAAGCGCCCCACCTCCATTTTTTCAGTGCAAAGACACACCAGGATGCTGATACACATGACATGGAAGGCTGCCGAAGCACATCAGTTTCCGTGCTCCAGCAGACTCCATTAATCGGGTCTGCTCCAACACGCTGGATTTCCACATCAGAGCACACTCCACCAATGTGTATTGGAGCCCTAACAGGTGGAGCATTTCTCAGAAAAAAAATTAAAAATTCCCAAACAAAACATTTTAATTACTAATTTAACACCTTCTCTCAACCTTCTGGTTGAGACAACAGATGCTCAGACATCAGAGCAGCCTCCAGGAAGCACTTGAGCAGAATTCTGTCTGGCAGGCTGGGACTCTACCTCTGGCAAGGACATCTCGCCCCCATCTCACAGTCAAGCCTAAAACTCTTTGGGTCTAAAATCCACATACTGCTTGCAGGGGCAAGGACAGTCTTCTCAGCAAGGACAGAAGAAAAGAGCTGACAGACCGAGCTATCAATTATTTCAAAAGCCTCTGGCAAAGCATCCCCCTACTTGAGACACAGATAGAAATTACAGGTACACCGAAACAGGCACACTTAAAATTTACTTCTATTCAAGATATAGTGCAGTTCTAATGGCATTGTCCAGTGCAATCATAGAAAAACTCTCTAAAGCCTTCAAGCCAGTGTGCAGGGCCAAAATCATTAGCGCTCATGTCAACTATGTAAACTGATATGCACTAATACAGTTTCCAAGATATAATTTGACCCAAAATAATACTTTTAAAAAATCAGTTTAGGGTATCCTATAAAGGGAACAACATCAGAGGCTGAAGCAAAATATATGTTTTACTTTTCCAGAATTAGAAAACATAAGCATCTCCAAGGACAAAAAACAACACCCCCCGCCCCCAAAAACAGAGCCAAAAACCAAGGGAATAATACAGCTAAATGAAAAAATACAAGAATTTATTCCAACTAAACTGTAAGCTTAAAACAAACAAAACAAATATTGGCATGTAGAAAAAGGATTAAATAGCTTCAGAGGAAATTTGAAGGGCAGGTATCCAAAGATGTAATAAGTAATGAGAAATTCTTCAAGTGGATCAAATTATGAAACCTGCCTGGGTATCAATTAGACACCAAAGGCAAAAAGAAGTGCTAGAACAATTTAAGTAATTAAATTCTTTGGCAATAAATCATCTTTACCAAATGTTGTTCACTCAGTCACTCCAAGAAAGTTAAAGTCTTACAGAAACTGAACTATTAACATAGCCCTCAAAAATGGCTCATATTTTTAGCAAAGGAAAAGAAATTGGTAACACCTATCTTTAAAAAGGTGCTAAATGTCATTTCAGGGATTATACAGGGATTAGAGGTCCCCAAATTCTTTGGACCAATGGACAACTATCAATCCTCAGGATTTTTGGAAGCCACTGCACCCTTATCATCAAGTTTTTAATTGGAAAAAGGAAGGCACAGGAAACATGGCAGGGTCAGAGTAAAAAAAGGTGAAAACGTGTCTCAGTACTTAGCTTGGGAAAAGAAAAGTATCTAAAAATACGGTATTTAAAACAATTAGTAGGGGTGCCGTCTACATTTTCATCTTTCCACATAATTCAAGGGCCAGAGACCACAGTGTGTAATGTTAAAAACTATTAGAAAAAAAGCTCAAGAAGTGTATTTTCATATGCTATGCATCACTAAACTACGGAACACCCTGCTGATGATGGCAAGCATGCCCCAGTCCAGAGGTGGATACAATTTAATTGTGGGTGAGGTGATTTTATCTAATTTAAATACACAACTGTATGTTTATATTTATTACTTATTTTGTAAAATACTTTGGAATGAATGTTATTATAGCAGTGTAAGGTGCTGTTCCTATACCGGCTTAGTAAGACTTTAAAATTATATGAATAAGTAAATCACCTGCAGCTATCCTGACTAGGTCAAAGATCACAAAAGCCTATCGGTCAAATCATCTCAGCTTAGGGTTTAAGATGGAAAAAGAGAGCACTTTACACCAGTGTTGACCCCTCTGCCAATTCAATGAGACTGCAGGGTTCTAGAGAAAATCCTTTCTTTCTTTCTTTCTTTCTTTGCTAGAAGACTTTGATGCAAGAAAGCAAAGATGAGGGGACAAACAGATAGACAAGGAGAAATGGAAGCAAGAGACATGGGGTAAACAGAAATCCTCAAGGCAAAACCTGTCCCCAAGAAATAATTGGCTTATGCGGCAGGCCACATGAGGAAAAGCTTATCTCTGGTAATAAGCCAGGGAATGATAACCTGCTGCATGTTGCAGGTAGACAACCTATTACCAGGTAGTATATTTAATTGGTAATAGGTTGTCTACCTGCAAGATGCACCCAAACACAGGACACAACAAAATGAAATGGGACAAATAGATGTGGCCAAGAAATTCCAATTTGCAGCATCCAAAGGTTGAGAGCAAGTTTCTAGGAAAGGCAGGCACAGCTATCTACCAAGAGAAAAACAACCCAAGAAGGGCCACATGGGTTAACACACAGAAGACTGCTTCCTCAGCTTTTACGTTTCTTTCTGTGCTAGAAATAACCTCCCACTATAAACCTGGCTGTGTATCTTTGGCAACACAAGGAGCTCTGAGGGCATGTTGGGAGCAGAGGGGATCTGAGGAACAGGAGAAGGGCATTATAAAATATGTAGCCAGTATCTTCAAGTTCTACTTTTAGATGGAAGACTTCAGTTTAGCAACAAAAAAATCATGTCAACCTTGCTACATCCCTCTCTTCCTATACCTCAGCTTGAAGAGGTACTGGAAGGTCCAATGCAAACTTCTTCCATACAGAACCAAAATCAAAAGCAGAAGTGATCCTAAATCCTAAATGGACAGCAGAAGTGAAATACTGAAAAAAAAGCATTTGCTCTGCAGAAGGGTGAACTGCCTGTTGCTTACCAGTCCATCGCAGTTGCTGATGGCCACCAAGCCACCAGGCATGGCTGAGATATCCCCTGTAAAGACACACTCCTGTTGCAGGGGCTCTCGGAACAGCACTTGGAAATCCTCTTGCCATTCGGCTGAGGCCCCAGGTGGTACCAGCCGATGGTTGGGCTTCACACGGAGATGGAGTTCCTTTCCAAAGACAGTGACGTTGAAATAAAGCAAGCGATTTTCACCTCCACCTTGGTGCAGGGGCTCATCCAGGGTGCTGCGGGCCACCCTGTGCCGAGCTGAGCGCGGGGTGGAGGGATGGCAGTCTTCACCACTCCCTGATGCCACTGAGCCAGACACCACGTGCGAGAGGAACCGTCCTTTGCAATCTGCACTGAAGGGCACAATCACACCATATTCACTTAGCTTTCCAGACAGGAGGAGCTCTAGTGGAAATAAATACAGATAGAAAGACTTCAATACATTCAAAGCAAAGAGCAACCTTTTGTAAATGTGTCAAGACAAGTGTTTCCTTCGGGTACTGCATGGCTCATTTGTGTATGCTCCAGGGCTCAGGTAGCTATTTCATCTCAAAAAACAAGTTGCTAGATTTCCTTGCTCAATTAGATAAGCATGTTCAAGCCAATAAACTTTATTCTACTCCGATACAACTCCAGTTTTTTGTGTGTGTACTTTGTACTTCTAAATGAGCATGTCCAACTGAGCAGAATAAACTCATACTGACATGCCTCCTGAATGCCCAACTAAGATCAAGCATGCAAACTATTTATTGTTTAGCTTCCATATATCATTTCCTCCATAATTAAAAACTCTCATAAACAAAACTCTGGCTGCAGCATCATGAATTCAGAAAGGGTTTGCAAGAGAACCCACATAGGACAGATGCCTCCTTCTGCAATTTCCTATCATAACCAACACAGCCCAGTGCCAGCCCATTATATAAAAATACACCTGTCAAAACAAACATACCTAACAGTCTAAAAAACCAAACCAAAATCAGGGAAGGCAAAAAATAACCCACTGAACTCAAGGACAAATAGCAATAACCAGCCTACAATGATTCTAACATTTTCGACTCAAATATAGAAGTGCAGCTTTTAATTGGCACCTTGTCGTACAGATTTTACACACCACACACCCACAGGAAGTAAACATAGCGTGACAAAAATAAAACGGGTCACCAGAAAGTAACGTGGACTCTCCACAGGGACTGAAAGCAAACTCTGCACACAAACGTTTTGAAGCAACTGCACCCTCTTCCCCACTGGCGCTGAAATGTCCTCTAGGAACCGCTTTGCAGGCTTCACAGAAAGCTGGCACCAGCACCACACCCCGAGTGCCCCGATTTCACCTCATGATTAGGCATGTTCATTTTCACTCCCTCCCCCCATCCGCCCTAGGTGTGTACTGGGGGGCGGGAAACAGTCAGTTGTTGGGTTTGTTTGAGGGGGTGGGGGTCTGCCTTTACCAGTTACATGGACAAAATGCTGAATTCCCTCTAGGAAAAATAACTGAAACGCTAAAAATAGGAAAGTGAGATAAAGAGACAGAGAGAGAAAAAGAGAAAGAAAGGAAGAAACAGAAAGAGAGAAGGAAGGAAAGAGAGAGAGGTAGAAATAGAGAAACAGAAAGCAGGCAGTCAGGGGCAGGGAGCGGGAGCCGGCCGGCGGCGCAAGCAGTGCGGACAGCTCCCCCCGCCGGGCCGGTTCCCCGGAGCGAGCGCCTTTCTCTCCCTGCCTGCCCCGGGGCCGCCGGAGCCCGGACCCACCTTCCGTCCTGGCCGCCCGCACGGCCGCGAACCAGCAGTTGAGGGGGAAGAGGCACGACAGCATCACGCGGAGCGAACCCATTTGGCGGCGGCGGCGGCGGCGGCGGCGGCGGCGCGGGCTGGCGGGTCCGTGCGAGAGCGGGCGCCGGGGACCTG